GAATTTAATTGTTGTAAATTCGGTTTTATAACAGTTATAAACGATAAGAGATACCTTTAGTTATACTCTAATCTTATGAACATATACTGTACCCACTTCAATTTTCTCGCTCCATAACTTAAATATCATTTTCAATTTTAAAATTAAGATAAAAATGACACACATGCACTTCCCACAAACACACATTTTTCAACTTAACAGAGGGATTGTAGGAAAATGCATTAATCATATGAATAACCATTAGTACGATTAATGTCACCGACAAGAACTGATAATAGTAATAGTTGAATGCTTAATATTATCGTTAAATCGATAAAAATTCAGATGTCGAGAGTTGTATTTTGTTTCTGAGACAGACATGCTGAAGGCGATGCGTATGGCATTGATGGATGAAGTGATGAAGTCCGGTAAGGTGATATCCAATGAGAATTTCACAGCACTTTATAACTTTATCGGTGTTCTATCAGAGCATTTCCCGACGTATTCGTTTTCGAATAATCTTCAGCGACAACATCGAAGTCGACGCTCCCAATCAGTAAGTGAATATCCTTACTATTGCTATCATAATATATACTTTTGACAACTAAAATAATTCTCACGATCTCAGTGTGAATTTTTGTCGTGGAATCATAATATTTACTGAAGATTAAATCTCCTCACGATTAAATCTCTCCTCTCCCCTCTCACGATTAAATTAAATCTCTCTCTTAAATCACAACAAACTGAATTTTCTCATCGTTTTCTCATTTCCTCTCTCCATGAGATGAATATCGCTTTCAATTTGGAAATTACAACATCATAGTATACGATATCGGAAGTTCGACTCCCTTCTTCTTGAAGCAATTAATTTGATAATGAGAAATTGCAAACGTACATAACCAAAATTAAATCCAACTGTGTAAATGATTCGAAGTGATGGACTCAGACGTATTTAGGTATTGCGTATGAGTACACGTGCACGGCACGTCTTCATTCATATGCGCGAATTCCTCAATAAGCACTTACCGCAAATGCAGGTGAATGCATCTGATTGGCAGCAACACTTCGTCAATATGGAGGTTTGTGTTTGTGAGCATTCTTTAGGCTCAGAATATTTCAAGATTATATGGACGAAACAACTGAACGGATACAACACTATTAGTGAGTAACGGTGAGATTAGATGATGTCTGGAATTCTGTTCGGGAAAGAAGCTGAACTGTCATGTGCAGAAAAGCGATCAGTTTTATGCAAATAAATAATAGCGTCGAAGTCTGGCAGAAATTCCATACTTTTAATAAGGATGATTATTATTATTATCATGATTGATAATGATTATTAATGATAACGATCATTGTTTATGAAATCATAGGAATTGAAGAGCTCCAGAAAATATTTTACAAGTTCGGAAATTCCTTTGCTAAATTCTCCGAAATTCTCTGCAAAGATTGCTCGAGTGCAGCAAGTTTCAGCGTGTGTTCGGTAACCCGTTCCCGACGAACGCATCATGGGTTCATTGTAAGGGAACACGACCTCAGTATCGAGGTTACACATGCGGCCTGTGGACAACATTCCATGCGCTCACTGTAAATGCTTACATGAACTCGTTGGAAAGAGAGCTGCAGCCTTTGCAAATACTCAGTTCAATCAAACAATGGGTCGATAGTTTCTTCGGATGTTTACACTGCAGACAACACTTTGATCGAATGACCACAAAGATATTCCCGATGACTGAGAGATGGGTTAGTCATTATACTATCCTTTTTTTCTAGTTGAATTGAATATGATCATATGGCTGATGATAACAATCAAATGACAATATCATATGAATATAATGTAATAGCAATATATCCTGATATACTATAATGTACTAATGCCTTATCATAAAACATTAACATACTATAATATAACACGAATGAAAATGGTTANATATATATCTCATTCAGATCCGTCAACCCAGTGATATGATGATGTACTTATGGCGAGCGCATAACATCGTTAATCAACGTCTACACAACGACCCAACCGAAGATCCACAATTCGAGAAGTATCAATTCCCTGCACCATTCCTCTGTCAGTCGTGTCAAATCGGTAGCGATCATTTCAGTAAGAAGGAGGTGCATCGATTCTTGATGAGGTTTTATGGTAACATTAGGGCTTATCAGCCTGATGCTCAAACATAATTGATAAGGATGTGATAAACAATTTATACATAACAAAACATAATTTATAGTTATGACAACAAATGATAAGTTATATAGGAATAGAAGTTTATATAGTTTCGTATATACATATAACCATAATTACTGTCACCAAATAAGTTGAGTGACCAATTAACTGGAAAATTCTGATAAGGTTCAAGCGCAACCGAAGTTGCAAAGCATGAAAGTCTCATTCAGTTTCTCTTATCTCACTTCATCAATACGGTGTGCTGTGTTCTCTTGTAATCGCTTCTTCGTCAATATGTATAGTGAGATTTTTGAACATATTTTAAAAGTTGTTTGATTCTGTTACACGAGTACGTTTCAATTATTATGAATTCTTTATGATTATTTCATTGATATTACTTTACTTTACAGTCGACGTGTTACTTCTAATCGATGAGAGTTTATGTCATTTATGAGTTGAAAGACAGACATTATGAAATGGCAATTTTATTTTGATCATTGTTACCGATATTATTATCATTATCATCATTGACATCATCATATTATTACTATATTATGCAATTTGCAGTCTACAATAACGGTACAAACAGTAATAATAAATATCAAGATGAAAATTCACCCTCAATCAATGAAAAACACAAACTCATCTGAACTGACAATGAGAGAAATGCACTTTGAATAAACAAAAACCTCGTATGCAAATGAAAAGGTTGCAATTGAAAAGGACCGCAACAATATTAATTTAAGCAAAACCGCAAAAATGAAATTATTCTGAACAAAATACGAATAAAATAAAATGTAATCGCAATAGTTTGAATGTGTAACNGTATCAGATAATAAAAAAGTGCCATCGAATGCCTGAAAATCCCAACCAATCGAAAATAATTTCAATTTGATAATGGAAAAATTTTTTCATCGAAAAGCATTCAAGACATCCAAAATGTACACAACAAAGCGAACACTCAAAACCATTCGATTTTTATGGTTTGAATCCAATATGCGGATTGCGATTACGACAGAAAATATACCGAGATTCTCAACGAAATTAAGTGATCGTTGCGGTTTTGATTGACAATTGACAAAAACGAAGGCGAAATACGCGAGAAAAAAGGTATCGCAAAACAGAAAACTTGGGGAATCGAGAGAATGATAATGGAACGAGGTGATGCGGAATCCCATCGCAATTCACAAACATCACTACAGAATCGTATCGTATCGCATCGCATCACTTCGTGAAACATTAATAAATGAGAGATATTCAATCAATCAATAGAACCGACAATTCATTAATGGAACTATTCAATAAGAATGAATTTCAGCTAACATGAATGCCTTCAAATAAAAAGGTATCGTTCTTCCATGATGATGATGATAACACCAACGACACATACATTACGATAATATTGATAATCATCACAATATACAACACCACTATCAATCGAACACATCTAACAAAACCACAGAAAATCTATCTGAATAACTCCACAACTAACGCATCACTCTAGTTGGCGCACGAAATCACATTCTTCGTGCTATTTTCGGGAGTATAATATTTTGATTTGCTCTCAACAGTTTGACTGTTTCAAAAATGATTCATTGACAACGATTTTGATTATCATTCAACGATCGTGCTCAATAGTAATAATTTTTCGTTCAATAATGATCAGAACTGATCAGTGCAGTCATTGAATTGATCACCTTTTCAATACAAAGAAAGGACAACAAACATGATTATAATAGTAACAATCAATAACAGCGATAATAAACATGCAAAATGACAGCAATCAGGATAACGACATTCATTAGCAGATTAACGACAAGGACATTGATGTTGATATAATCATAATAATCACTTACAAATTCTTTTTGCATTGCATAACAGAGATATCATCTCTTGTAAATTCATCACATTACACCATATTATCATGTCAATATTATCATCACTATACAAATTCAATTAATATCAATTATAAGTTTGTTCGCATCATGAAAACAAACCTTTCTATTTAACACATAGCAATACAGACAATAAAATTCATTTGCATAAAATAAAAATCACTGAAGGATATCTTCAAATCCGCCCGTTACAATATTCAAGTCATTTGTCAACATCAAATGAACCATTATATAGGTTTGAGAATTCGATTCAAAAAGAAACGATAATATGAAAATGTATACAAAATAAACAATACAAAAGAACGCTCAATTCCGAAGTTTATAAATGAGACACTGATGAGTTCATAGGTGAATTTTATCAGTTATGGAGCGTAACAATAAATGCATCCAACACTCTGTGACTGTGACCATAATGAATGATAATAACAACGATTGATGAATTACCCTTTCAATATCATATTAAAAGAATTCGCTCGTAGACTACTACCGAACAATAAATGCAGTTGTGGTTGTGAAGTGGCATAATGTGGCACTGAAGATGGTCTATAAAATCGCCATTTTATTTTATATGATAATAATATCAATGATTTTTGAACAATAATGATAACAATAACAGATGAAAATAATAAAAACATAAAAACATAAACATAAAAATTAAACCTTTTGCGCGCGTGTTTCGCCGCATTGGAACCACAATGAGCACAATGACACGATGATAGAAATCTGTTAGATGAGTTATAATGAAATGTACCTGAAGAAATATTCAATAAAATTTCGAAACTCAGTCAAAATTGTTGAAAATATTCAAAAATTCACCAATCCAAAAAAAACTCATCAAATTTTGACAAAAATTCGCCAACTTATTCAAAAATTGAGGGCGGGCGGGTAAGCTGCAAAAAAGTATAGAGAAATTTCGAGTGAAGCATAACGACGAGATTGAAACCTCAAAAGCAGTTAACACAAACTCAGAGTTACAGTCGNCATATCGAGCGAAGAAATTCGATTTGATATGTTGGATTTTAGAAGTTTTATGAAGGAATGAATATCTTTAGGGTGGGTTATTTGCTGAAGAAATGTCACTCGAAATTTCACCGAGAACTCATCGATAGATCGAGAATAAGGTTGTTAAAGTGAATCACCGACCGTGCGGCTAGAGGAGATCATCACTGAGTTGAGAAATACGCCAACAACCATATTATATGCTATTATTAACAACAACAACAACAATTAGACAACGAATGGCAATAAGCAATACAGCCAGCACATAGGGATGGATGGATGAATTTGAAGCGTGTGTGAGCGGAAGTTCATTTATCTAAAATATTCACAACGAGTCTTTGCAAATTGTAAAATTTTAGTTTTAAAATGAATAATCTGCAACTTTATCAGAACAAATATGATGTTCACGGTATGTCAGCGATCCATATTGTAAGGGAAAGCATAAAGGAAAGATTTTCGGAATTTCTTCCGTAGAATGAAGCTGAACGGAAAGAAACTGAACGATACTGATGTGAGGTAATTTCAATTCGAAGAGAAAAATAAACAAGAGCACGAAAAGCATCTCTAAAAGAAAGAGGGAATGCAAAGCGATCACAGTATGACAGCGGTAGATATCACTTCAATCGCATCGAAGTTACTCTTTATACAATTGATTATTCATCAACAGCTGAACCCAAAATTATAGAAAAGGTCAACTGACAATGAATTTGACACCGTACATTGCTTGAGCCCATCAAAGATTTGAATGTTAACCAAAAGACAAAAAAAAANGAGTAAAGATTTGTGACTGAACTCGATTCAGCGTTCAAATCCACCGGTTGTATACTATCCGTAGTGATCATATTCGCAGAAGGCAGAGTCTGTCTCGTGTAGTTCAGAGACGGTGTCCGTTGTAAGTGAGTATTGTTTGAAGTGTTGCGGATCCGAATTGCGGAATGACCTGCTTTCGATGGTAGCAGCGGGGATGAGGACGGAGTCAACGAGGTCATTGTAGTGGTACTATCTTTATTACTATTACTGTTAGCAGCTTGATTGTGGTGATGATATTTCAGTCGCGTGTTTTGCGCCAAAGACAAGATTTTTTGAACGGCTTGCGGCGATTCCACACCTTAAATTTGCATTCATTCAAATAAAACTATCGACAGTGAATATAATAGGATACGATAGCTTTTCGGGTGATCATTCATTTCAAATGATAACCATTTAATGAGATCATAAAAGTCAGCTAAATACCAACCGTAATATCACACTGTAACAGTTGATCCCAACCAAAATCATACCGTTAAACCTCTCTCTAATTGTGCAACAACAATGAAACTAATTGAACCTTCTCGAACCATCAAAAAATGCTCAAAATTTGACTACTTTCCGCTAGTTATCAAAACAAGTCACTAATCACCCAACAGATTTATCAACGNGGTGATGGTATACGTCTTCGGATCTGTTGCACACTCGACGTGATCTGTTGAGGTTCACATTCGGCCGACATTCTATCCAATAAATGCTCATCATCCACCACTTGTAGTTGCTGCAGATACGACTTCACTTTACGCACCATCAGCGCTTGCTCGTAGACTTTTTTGCGCGGCTGAGATGCACTTTTCACTGTAACAATTCATAGAATTGATTACATAACACATGAATACCGCGAATATATGCTACATTCATGGATTAAGCACAAACTTTAATCATAAGATGATATGACTCATATTAGACCGCAACACTGTCACCTTCTGTTAAAGTTTATGTCTTTGCTAAACTACATCCACTTTGAATCTGACGTCTTGACAACAAAAATACTGCGGCGCCAACGACTTGATAACTCATTCCTTACTGTTTTTATCAAGCGATTTGATCTGGTAGATTTTTAGAAACTTTTCGGCTGGGTGAATGCCGATTATTGAGAGTGACAATATAAGAAAGAGGAATAGCAATGATAAATAAAAACGATGAACCACTCACCTGCATTTGCACCAACTTTTCGCATTGTTGCAACAGCTCCGTTTGCCCCATCAAAATTATTCATATGCAGTAACGCATCATTCAGAACACCACCACTCTTCAAAACAAATTCAGTTCCAATGGCAGAAGGCTCATTTTATCTTTGCAATCATTGATACGAAGATGCGATAAAACCCCAAAATTTTTCAAAAAGTGGCAATATTTACCATCGAATTCAACGAGCAATCATTCAGAAAATTACTAAAACACTAAAAAATCCACACCAAACCTCATCAAATTCAACAGCTTCTATCTTGCAATCCATAAATCAAAATCGCCTCAAACTCCAAAACTGTTCACTCACCTGCTGCGACATCACCCCGATTTCGTACGGAACACTGCACAGTCTCGTCACCGTTCTAATCGCCCTCGCTATCATTCGCAACTTCTCGAAATTAACCAATTTACCACAATAAGTCGGATTCCCTTCGTGTGTGAATGTCAAATCCTTCTTCAGAACCGGATACATTGGTACCACAGGTGGTTCGTGCGACACTTCGCATAAATGCTGTCGATACTTGGACATATTCCTCGACGGATCAACCAGCTGCTGGAGATCTTCGAATACTTTCACGTATTTACTGAAATATTTCAAGTCACTTCTGCAAACCAACTGCGGCAAAATGTGAATTTTTTGAAAGAAATTAAACTCCTGAAAGCCATTCAAACAGGTTTCATTCTCCGGCTGAATCTCTTAAAGATCAGCAATTTATGAG